CTATACTACCAATTAAAATACTTGCACTTATTTCTGGGAAACCCCAGAAATAAGTGCAAGTATTTTAAGGGGTGGTAGATCTCGATAAAAGAAACATATTTTCTCTCTAACGTTTTTCAAATAAGTCCAAAATAACGGAGTTATTTTACTTTGAACATTTCCAAAAAAAAAATATTTTTTGCTAAAACTTTTAGGATCACTGGATCTTTTCTGGATTTTCTTTCTTGTAAATTTAATCTAATACTTATGTTGCTATATTATCAAGAAATTATGTTTTTAACTAAAAACTAAAAAAAATTCAAAAAAAATTTTCAAAAAATTTCTAATTTTCAATTTTTTTTTCGCGAAAAAACCTCATATGCGTGTTTCTGGGGTTGAACTATACTACCAGTTAAAATACTTGTACTTATTTCTGGGACAGCCTGTATATATAGGGTGAGTCTTAAATAAGCGCAAATATTTTCAGGGCTGGTAGATCTCGACAAAAGAAACATATTTTCTCTTTAACGTTTTTCAGAAAAGTCCAAAATAACCGATTATTTAAGTTGAAAATTAAAAAAGTGATTTTTATTGAAAACATTTTGAGAGTCACCGGACGTTTTCCGTATTTGCATCCCTTTTAGTGCCGTAACCATAGAGTAAAGCCAGAAGTATGGTAATATCAGAGATTAAGAAATTATACCAAGTTTTTGAAAAATATACAGGGAAATTTAAAAGAAATTGCACGATTTTCAACATCTTTTTTTTTGCGAAAAAAAAACTCATAGACGTGTTCTTGGGGTCGAAATATACCACCCATGAAAATATTTGCACTTATTTAAGACTCACCCTGTATATCATGACATTTAAAATTTTTATGTAAAGACGTTAAAAAAACTGTTGTGACACAACGCCCTCTAGCTACAACGGTAAAATATGTTGAGACAAAATTTATATTGTGGGTAATTAAGGAAGAAAAGCTATTTTAAACGAGCCTAAGTTTAGTTTAATTCCGTTAACGCACACCAGAGTAACCTATAATTAACTATTAATCCTATTTTGAAAAAGCATGTTTAACCTTCCTCCACCATTTTATGTTATGATATATAGCAGAGCACGCCAAACCAAAAAAATGCATTTTTTTATTGGCTATAATGGCAATATTTAAAATACCCCGTAACGTATCACAGTATTTGAAGAAAAGCCTCCTGACGAGCCATGACACTGGAGGGAATTTTTTAAACTTGAAAATATTTTGTTATGGTCGCGAATTCTATTGACTGATTTAATTCATCATCATTCTCAGCTTACTCAACCATTCCCAATTGTTGGCTATGCGGGCCCAAGTTATCCCTGTTAATTTCTTAATATCATGGTCTCATCATGATCATGACTGGTAGTACCATATATTTATAAAGTAACTATATGGATTGTTACCTATACCTGCAATGGGTTGAAACTGAAGCCGAGTCAGAGACAACTAGATAACCGGTCCATGTATATTTCACATAAGTCCTTCTGTTAGACAGACACTGGCGCAATAGCACAACTCCAAAATTCCGAATATCGATTAGTCGGATTAGCCATTGTATAACGGGAGCGCAAACAGAAGCCGTACGAAACTGTACGAAGCATTACGAATGAATCGCGGATGCTAGTGTCTAGCGTCTTATTGGTCTAGTTATCCGATCGATAATTCAAAATCCACGTTTGCGTACTACGCTTGAACACGCCTAACTAAGCGACTTATGCAAATTCCCTCAGAATATTTATATACCCATTCCGGCTCGGCTTCACAGAGTGCAGTTTGGAGTCGATATAGTTACGTTATAAATATATGGGCAGTACACATTGGTCGAGTGTTTTCTTCTTTAGATAAAGTGGCATTCTTGACTTGAATATGATTGATTTTCTTCCATTAGTACTCCATACTAACTTAATTCTTCTGTTGATTTCTGGTAGTAGAGATCCCGAGCTGTGTATTTTTTGTCCCAAATATACAGGGTGTCCCAGAAATAAGTGCAAGTATTTTAACTGGTAGTATGGTTTAATCCCACAAAAATACCTATAAGGTTTTTCTCGCGATAAAAAATTTGAAAATTCAAAATTTTTTGAAAAAATTTTTGGAATTTTTTTTAGTTTTTAGTTAAAAAACAATTTCTTGATAATATGGGAACATAGGTACTAGATTAAATTTACAAGAAAGAAAATCCAGAAAAGATCCAGTGGTTCTCAAAATTTTAGTAAAAAATATTTTTTTACTAAAAAAACTACTCCGTTATTTTAGACTTATTTGAAAAACGTTAGAGAGAAAATATGTTTCTTTTATCGAGATCTACCACCCCTTAAAATACTTGCACTTATTTCTGGGACACCCTGTATGCATCCTTCTACTATTTCCAGTTTCGTGTTATTTACTAGAATGTCTTTTCTGTCTACTAGTTGGTTGTGCATTACTTTAGTTTTTGCTAAATTCATTTTGAGACTTTATTGTTGGTTGTATTTAGTTCGTTATAATTTGTGTAGTTCTTCAGTACTATCAGGACTATGTTATCAGCGAATCTTAGATGGTTAAGATATTTTCCATCTATTTTTAATCTTTTGTTGGTCCAGTCTAGTTGACGGAAGATTTATTCTAGTATTGTTGTGTAAACAGCTTTGGGGATATTGGGTCTCCTTGTCGTACTCCTTTGCCAGATGGAAACTCTGGGGTTGTTTTATATATCATTACTCTTGCTTTGCCATCTTTGTATATGTTGGAGGCAGATGCCAAATTTCGGCCAATGTCCAAAATAATTAAACATATGGCGAGTTGTTCATACTAAACTTGCCAGGGGGTTAATCTTTTTTTGGTATAATATAACAACAAAAGATTAACACCCTCCGCATAGAAGTTGAAACGAATGCAATCAAAACTCTTCCGCGTAACTTTGTGGATATAGGTAGGTATATTTAATTGTAATCGCCATATGTCTAATTTTCGGCATCTGCCTCCAACATATACAGTGTATCCACGGATTGACTCCCAAAGAGGGAAAACTTTTTTATTCGTGAGTTTATAAAAAAAAGTTATTCTTCATAAAAACTCCTGCTTGAGCTTAAACGACCAACAGGCATATTTTTTTACAGATGTATATACCGAGTGTTAAAAAGTTTAAAAAATATGGAAAACGCTAAGAACAAAGTACTTGTATATGTAAAAATACGATGAAAAGTTATTAATAAAAGTTCTAGGGATTGAAAAACTACACCACGTAACTAAATTTTATCTCACTACCTAAATGTACAGGGATTGGTTAAAGATTCCTCACCATATAAAATACCATTTACTCTAAATTAACTTAATTTTTTTGAATAACTTTTAAATCCTTGTTTACCTTTACGCAATTTCATTTACTTCTCTTTTTAAATTAACCAATTGAGGCTATAAAATAAAACTCGTACACGATTAAGTATTAAACATTTTTTTTAGAAAACGAATGAAAAATAAAAAAAATATTGTTACAAACTGCCTTTATTATCTATTATTTGTTTGCAACAATATTTTTTTATTTTTCATTCGTTTTCTAATTGTTAATTAATTTCGTTTTAACATTCGTTTTCTAATGTTTAATAATTCATCGTGTACGAGTTTTATTTTAGAGCCTCCATTGGTTAATTGGTTAATGGAGAGGAATCTTTTACCAATCCCTGTACATTTAGGTAGTGAGATAAAATTTGGGAACGTGGTGTAGTTTTTCAATCCCTAGAACTTTTATTAATAACTTTTCATCGTATTTTTACATATACAAGTACTTTGTTCTTAGCGTTTTCCATATTTTTTAAACTTTTTAACACTCGGTATATACATTTGTAAAAATAATATGCCTGTTGGTCGTTTAAGCTCAAGCAGGAGTTTTTATGAAGAATAACTTTTTTCATAAATCCACGAATAAAAAAGTTTTCCCTCTTTGGGAGTCAATCCGTGGACACACGTATATTGGCGAGAGTTTCTATGTAAGGTCTGTCAACACCTTGATTCGCTAGGGCTTTTATTATTGCTTTAGGATATATCGAGTCCAAAGCCTTCTCACACTCTATAAAGGCTACGGCTAGTGTTCGTATATGGAAGTTCGTATTCTTTTGTTTTTCTTAGCGTATGTATGTGATCAATCGTGCTGAAGCCGCTTCTAAAGCCTGCTTCTCCTCGTGGTTGTGTAGCATCTACCGTATTTTGTGTTCTGTTGTTTATTATTTTTGTGAAATTCTTATTAGTTTATAATTTCTGATGTCTTCTTTGCTGCCTTTCTAATGAATTAGAATTATGTTGGCGCTACTCCAACTTAGACAACTGGTGTATATATTTCTTGTAGTGTATATATTGTTAGGCTGATTTAATTATTGAAATTTATTCCCAAATTTATAATAATAAGTATTTTCTGAAATACAGCCAGTGTCCGTTCTTATTTGGCCATTGTGTATCCCATCTGATTTAAATAATTGAAAATAAAAATAATCTCCTTACACCACATGACAAGTAATCCCAATAACAAATGTTTGTACAAGTACACGAGTTGTCAGAGTCCGCCTTAACACAAAGAGTGACAAATAATTGCACAAGTAAACCACTCACACAACATGGCAAGTCTATGCCAACAATACATTTTTGCCAAGTACTCGAGTCGTTTGTGCCCGATTTAAAAAAAAGATGATCTGCCTTTAGAAGCTCGGACCCTTGCATTCGTTCTCACCTATATTTTAAGCTGTTTGCTCTCTGTTTCTGTCATTTAATGTATTTATGGATTTGGTTAAAAATCCGGATAATATTAATTTTAAAACCCTTTAATCCGAAACATACAATATACCAGTACAAAGTTGCCGTCCCCACTTAAATCGTTTCTCCTAACAACTCCTTAGCTACAGTAAAGTTGCGGGTAGTACTTTTTTAGGACGAGGCACAGGTGACAATCAAAGAGTGAGGAGAGCCGTCATCACAGAGGAGGGGGCAATCACGACAGGGGTCACCAATACGATCAACTTACGTCTGGCAGCAGATGTTGCGGCGGAAGGGCGGCGTGCGCCGGCAACGGTCCGTTCTTCAGCTCGAAGACTGCCGTAGGGGCGGCCTGGGGGGCCACAGCCGCCAACGGGGGCCCGCCCAGTAGCGGATGGTGAGGGTGGCCGTGGTGGGGGGGAAGGAGAGGAGAAATGAAAGGGGTACTTACGTCAGCGTGCGCGGGTACGGCGAAGTTGCCCTGGATGGTGTAGGCTTGGCCGCCGGCTAGGAGTACGGGACCGCCGACTTGGGGCTTGGGGCGGTAAGGAATGGTGGCTCCTTTAGGGGGGGACTAAAAATTAAAAAACATATACATTAGTTTACAATTGATGATTTTATTGTAATAACATGATATGCCGCAAATCCATAATTCTGAATTATTAGATATCGCAATTTTGAAAAAAATGTGTAAATTTAACTATTAATAAATACAGGGTTGTTCACCACATACGACACGGAGTATTGTAGCTAAACGATTAGATTTTTACAAATTGTAAGTTTTGGGTTCGTTGAATTTTTATAAGATACAGAGTGTCCGAAATAAATAAAAAATATCAAAGTTGTATTTTTTTAAATGAAATACCCTGTATGTTATTACATTTTTAGTTTCTACGATTAAAATAAAGATAAATTTGATTAAGGTTTATTACACTTAAACCTTACCGTTTTTAAAATATTTTCAATTTTGTGAAATTGCAGTATAAATTTTAGGGCTTCATTTCTCCGAGGGTATCAAAGTTTTTAATACTAAGTATTTACTGAAGTTTATTTATTGATCAGTGATTGTGTTGCAATAATAAAAATTGTACTACCTTATACAGAGTGTTTAAAAATTTATTTGAAGATATGGAGGATTTATTTATATTATTTTATGGAAGATTTACTTGGAGAAATGAAGTCTTAAAATTTTTACAGCAATTTCACAAAATTGAAAATATTTCAAAAACGGTAAGGTTTAAGTGTAATAAACCTTAATCAAATTTATCTTTATTTTAATCGTAGAAACTAAAAATGTAATAATATACAGGGTGTTCAATTTAAAAAGTACAACTTTGATATTTTTTATTTATTTGGGACACTCTGTATCTTGTAAAAATATTTTTAAATTGTAGCTCTAATAGTCCTTCAACGAACCCAAAACTTACAATTTGTAAAAATCTAATCGTTTAGCTACAATTCTCCGTGTCGTATGTCGTGAACAACCCTGTATACATTTGGAGAATTTTTAGAGTTAGTTTAGTTTAACTCGCTAAGTATTTATCTGACAAATTTTTTGGATAAAAAGCAAGAAAAACACTAGATACTAGTTATTTAAACTGATTTTCGGTTGAGTGGCTTACCATGTTATTACAATAAGCCTTTCAATTATTATTAACCTAACCTAATCGAAATTAAATATTAAATTATATTAATTAGCATTATATGAGATATTTTGGTATTTAATTTGTATTTCTGGCATTACTTTGGCATTAGTGTACAGAAATTTGTCAACGGTTTACCACTCGAATTTAACCTGACATTACATTTGGTGTTATAACAGCAAAATAAAACACTAATTCACACAGCAGATAATTAAAAATTAAACGATGCTAATATGGTTAACAAAACGCGCGTTTAGTGCAAAAGCAAAGTGGTGTATTGTGTAAATCAGTGTTTTATTTTGCCAGATTTTTTTTGTTCTAGGATATATGCCAAACTACGAAAAAATTGGTTCTTTTATAATTTTACATTAAGTATACCAGTTTTTGCCATCTAGATGGAATATTTTTTTCACCTCTCAAGAGCATTAAAGAAAACAATCCCATATGATGCCAACTGTATCTGTGACACTGTAATAAAATGTTGAAAATATATTATATTTACCTTAAGCATAACGTCGCATATGTGATATATACACTGCGTGATTGCTTCTCCCGTGCCAGATATAGTAACCGCCCTTTCCGTTGAATTCGGCAACATTTCACTAGCTACTTGAATCGACGCTCCGGTCACTTCCCTAATTTCTTTAATTTTCGAGCCCCCTTTTCCTATCAACGAACCGCACTGGCTGGCTGGTACGATCAGTCGAAGAGTGATGGGTGGTCTTGGGACGCCGCTGCCGCTGTTGGCATTGTCCTGGAACTGCGAACACCACTGTGTGCGGGGAACACCAGTTAAACAACATTGAGAGGCAAGAAATAAATACAACTACAAGGTGGGTGCGATGATTCAAAAAAAGCTACTACCCTATTCTAGTTTAGACAATGGTATTGCAAATACTCAACTGTGTATGATACATAAGAATTTATACTGCATTTACAGTTATGATAAAGACAGATTTAAAAACTACGAGTCAAGTTTGATATAAATTCAGATATTACAAGTCTTTTAACACTGCTGAAATAGTATATTATATCATACTAATAATTATTGTTCCTTATATAAGTCAAAAGAAATTGACAAATAAGGCAATGTCAAACAAAAAAATAAAAAATGCTCATTCTAATTTATAATAGTAACTTTGAATAAAAATATTAAGAAAAGAGTATATTACTATCCATGTATTCATGCATGGTGGGCGGAATCGACTTCATAAGTCCTCATTCTTGACCGTTCTGTTTGACGTTTTAATGGAAACATTTGAAATTCTGTAGATTTGTTTGTCATTACAGCGCTTATTTTATGTTATTTATTATTTATTCTATGACTGGTTTTTGTTAGAGGTATTAAATCTAGGAAAAAAAATGTCAGAACTTAACAGATATCGGTTCAAAATCGAGAGAAATAATAGAATAACTTTTTGCTGGTAAGTGACTACCGGGTGGTGCATCGTCGTTTGGAAACGTCGTCGTTCATACAGCCAAATAAAATAAAATAAGAAGGTTGGTTATATGGGATACCGTACACGCGTTCATACAGCTAAATAAAATAACAAATAAAATAAGAATTGGTTATCTTTTAACTTCCTTATTTTATTTTATGTTAGAACGACTTTGCGCACGCTTAATTCTAACCTACAAATTTTTCAATATGAATTTCATTTATTTTATAATTTTACATAAGAATAAATTTATAATATAGTATGCATCGAATAAATAATAAAAATATACTATAAATAGTAAAATTACTATAAACAATCATTAAACTTAACTTTTATCCAGCTCCATCGTACTGCGCATGAGCAAATATACATTTTTTATTTTATTTTATTTGGCTGTATGAACGCGCACAAATAAGAATTTCTTATTTCTTATTTTATTTTATTTGGCTGTATGAACCCACCATAACAAAATAAGTTAAAATATGACCAATTTTCTGTACCTACTAATTATTGTTTGTGAAATACTACAGGAATTGCACTTGAGGTTGGGACTTTTGGGTGAGACGACAGCAAAATAAAACGTTACTTCACTGTACACCCTGTGCACGTTTTACTAATCATGTTAAAAAAGTCGAAATCTTCCCTGACTCGTTGGACAGATTTTAACATGGTTAGCGAAACGCGCTTCTGTCCTTCAAAATAAAGTGTTTTGGAGTATAGTACATATAAAAAAATAACACCTACATTTCTACCCTCTATGTGGTTATTCGGAAAATAATTGCTAATTATATTAGTTAATAATAAAATGAGTTTCTAGTGAGTAATAATTGAACTAGTGTGGCGTTGGTTAACCAGCATTTCGTCATTTCATATTTTATATATGAAAACAGAATGTATTGTTTGTATTATCGATTTCCTAAATGAAATATTTAATGAAATTTCAAATGAATACCAGTAGGATGACAACTGTCAAATTATTAGAAATCCAATTTATAGAGACGGTTTCACGTTATTAATTATTTTTGCAAAATAATTCAATTTTGAAGTAATCAATTTAAATCGACATAAAAGTATAAATAACAATGCCTAATGCCTATTTGAAATAATTATGGTTAACTTATTCTTGGTATTTGGTCTCATTTCAAAAGTGGCTCACCCTTATAACTTTGTATTTTTTCAGATAAAAGAATAAGATTTGGTATGTTAGTATATGACATAAATTAGGATTGATTGACGTATTCATTTGTTTTTTGTCATCGGACTTCAACTTTTGATTTATATGAAACCCCCGGTATTTTTTTTACTTTAATCGATAGAAAATGACACTCTCAATAGAATGACATATCGTATGTCAACTTTTGATATTTTCGCATATGCTTTATTTCAAAATGTAACATGTGGTTCATAACGACGATTTGACTCGAAATATCACGTTTGTGGTGCCAAATTATTCGAAAAAAAAAAATGTTTTTTCCAAATATGCTAACGAGCCACCCTTGTTCCATTTGAAAAAATTGAGATTTAATTAAAAATTCGATTCGGGCATCTTTTAACCGACCAGGACAAGACACGAAAAACATTAGATGATCAAATCTATTTTTCCAAGGCTCCTTGATTAAAAATTAGTGTTTTTGACACAGCCATGGCACTCTAAATGGAAATTTAAAATACAATTTTTTAAAGCAAATGTGTCAAAAGTTGACATATGATATGTCATTCTATTGAAAGTGTCATTTTCTATCAAATAAAGTAAATACCGAGCGTGTTATTGAAAAATTAACAGTTGTAGTCATTTCCGATGAAACAGGAAGTTACCAAAAATAATTGAATACGCCAATCAATTCTAACTTTTATCATATACTAATATACCAAATCTCGTTTTATTATTTTCACCCGGTTGTGATAAAATATGCAATTTATTTATATACTTATTTAGCAAGTTAGGGTTTGTACCCTATTTTATTTTACTATGACTGTACATTCTAATACCTAATACAGTTCCTAGATATAAAGTACTTTAATTAATCTTTCTTTAAATTAATTTGTTGGTACGAGTATATTAATGACACGTTCGTATAGATTTAAAGAATATCAGTAATAGGTAGAATAATAATCGAAGGTTTTCAAATTGCGACATTATTTTATGAATGTCAGAGTGGTGACAAACATTTAGTAATAATCTCAGTAAACTGTCTAATAAATATTTTTGAGCTTACTTGAGCATAATTCATTAATCAATAAATGAAAGGGTGGCTGCAATAACCAGGCAGCTCCACTTTTCTCAAAAATGAGATTTTTAATAAATTACCCTTTAAAAAAATGGGCCAATCGTTTCCTGCAACAGTTCTCTCAATATAACAGTACATAAATGGCGACGCTAGTTGGAGCTGCCTTGCTATGGGTTTGCAGAAAGAACCGAGCAGCTCCTTTTCGATTTCCCACAAATTTATTAAAATGGAGCTGCCTGGCTATTTATTGCGCAGCCACCCCTTCAAATGTTGTAAGTATACATACATTCACCTGATTCGACACGGAGTATTGTAACCACACGATTAGATTTTTAAAAAATGTGAGTGATGGAATCATTGGAAAACTACTAAAGCTAAGTGTCCCAAATAAATAAAAAATATCAAAGTTGGATTTCTTTTAAATTGAACACATTCTATATTATTACTTTTTTAGTTTCCACGACTAAAATAAACACTGTAAATTTAATTAAGGTTTACCGCACTTTAATCTTACCGTTTTTGTGAAAATACAGTACCAATTTTAATGCTTCTAATTTCTCTCGGCGCATTTATGTTTTTAAAATCAAATATTATACTGAAGTTTTTCTATTTACTAAATTTTGTGTTGCAATAATAAAAATTATACATACTAGCTTATACAGAGTGTCTAAAAATTTATTTTAAATAACTACTAGCATTAGACGGCAATAACTTGTTTAATTTAACCGGAATACCCAGTATATCTTACGAGAATCAGATGCACAATTTAATTGTCTATCAAATTGTATTATACCATTTTTACCTGTCTCTTCAAGTTTTCATAAATCTGATTCACGTAAAATATACAGGGTGTTCCGTTTAAATTAAACAAGTTATTGCCGTTAAAAGCTAGTAATTATTTAATATAATTTTTTACACTCTGTATAATTTTTTGTCAATACGTCTCTGTGCTGGGACGCAACGCTCGAACCTAGCAGGTCGACCGACGGAACTCAACTGAAACGCTCTGCAATCTGCTACAATCTGCCGAATTCAAAAATCTGGCAGAAAATATTTGGGAGAGTGCAACTACTCTTTTCCTTCTACTATAATTAAAGTGCGGTAAACCTTAATCAAATTTACCTTTATTTTAAGCGCAAAAAACTGAAAATGTAATAATATACATATAATATACTTTTATTTATTTTGGACACTATGTAGCTTCTGAAAATAATTTAAAATTGTCTCTTTACTAGTCCTCTCTAATGTATGTATCTAATCATTTGGCTACAGCACTCCGTGTCGAATAAGGTGAACAACCCTGTATAAACATTTTTGACATCATTTTTATTTTAACCCTTTAAATACTCGTACCATCAAAATGTAAATAACTGCAGTACTTTATACAACAAGGAACTTCTACCTATACCTACACAGCATATTAATAAATATAACTCTTACCTCCTCAAACTTCTTACAAATTAGCGAAAACGCTTTAAAAATTGCATTTGTTGATCCTGTTACTGTGACAATTCGCTCAGGACACGACCCATCTGATATATTAATTTTTGCTCCGGACTAAAATGGCAAAACTAGAAAAATTTATTAACAATTGATTAATAGCTTACCTCTTCTCTAAATCTGTTGACGATTTCTCCTTTTTTTCCTATAATACTCCCAACTTCCTGCAACAAAGAAATAAACATTTAGAATAAGTATCTACATGAATCATGGATAAAAAAATTACGAAATAATTATATAATTACTACATTTAACTCCCTATTTGGTCCCCCAATTCATTTCAACATACTAGTATACTTTTTATTTATTTATTCTGTCGATGACAGATTGGGCTCCATCATGTCTGACCAGATTTATTTTACATAAAATGATTATAATAAAACAAAACTGTTATTAATTAAATATAGTTTTAATTAATAACAGTTTTGTTTTGAGGACGATGTTAATAGAAAACTAAAAGTTGTAGTCGATTTTTGTCCGGTCGAGATATAAATCCCGTGAATTTTTTTAGGGGGCCATTTTTATGATTCGAAATAATTTTTAAGGTGTTACGTTAAAATTAAGCGTGGAAGTTACTTTTTCGGAAGTCGAAAATTTTGGCATTTGGTCGCTAGAATTTAATGTATACCTACCAGCAGAAAAAAAGGTGTAAATAAAAATGTTTCCTCTTGGAAACGGTAAGTAGCTAAACGACCACTGAAGCCTCTACGGATACTGTTAGTGGAGCCCTATATTCGCCCTATTATAAACTGTGTTTGAATTTTTTAATAATTGTTACTTATTCTGTCACTTTTTAATAAATAACACATAGGCTGCTCCGAAAAATAAAACACAAAACGTAAGACCACCCTGGCGCCCTTCTTTTTTTATTATAGGGTATGTACAGGGTGGCGCCTCTCATACGCCGCGGAAGCTCCAAGGAGAACGGTAGTTTATATCGCAATGAAATTTTGGCAGCATATGTAGGTTCACTGAAAGCATTTTATAAAAATATATAGAATTATACAGGGTGTCACCAAAAAAAGTTACACAAAGTTGTGTTTTTTCTAATGGAACACACTATATATTAATTGACTTTCGGATTCTAGGAAAAAAATAAAGGTGAGTTTTATTAAAGAAGCATATACCTAAAATCTAAGGATTTTGACATATTTCACATTTTGTGAAAATGAAGAGTAAATTTTAAATTTAGATAACAGCTACCTAAATTTTAGTTGACCTTGTATAGCCTAATATTTAATTACAGTAAACATTGTATGTTAAACCAAATTGAAATTTGATCCGAAAAGTTATACAGGGCGAGACAAAATTAATATGGAACATTAGACACTTTTAAAAGCAAGTTACTCCTTTATTTTAAATGGAACACCCAGTATATTTTTCCGGTGTTCAATGGGGAATTTATATATCTTCAAAATATTATTAAGGTTGCCTACCCCTCAGACAAAGATTTTCCTAGATATTTAAATTTTTATGATTTTGCGTCCGTAAATCTTTAATATTTGAAAAAATCTAGGTGGTTGTGTGATATACCTTTTGTTAATTTAACAAGAATTAAGATTGTAGAGTAAAATACACAAGGGTAATAAAAAGATACGCGTTTAAAACATATTTTAATTATTACAGAATTAAAACTAGATATAAGCTTATAATTATGCGACAAAAATTAGCTAGATGAAATCAAATGCTCAAAATCCTTCCTGTTAACTGCATAAAGTGGTTATATTTTCAAAAGGATCTTTCCATTTTAAAAGGCATTTATGTGGAGTTCTACCTCGAAAAGCAGCTACAATAATTTCTCTAATGTTGTCGACACTAGTTGGTCGGGTTTTGTAAACACTGTCTTTAACATATCCCCATAAAAAACCCCAGACTAGATAAAATCAGGAGCATTTAAGTATTCTCTTAATTGGTGAATGCACACTGCATTCACCAACCAACAGAATCATATCAATTCTTTCTGATGTAAGATAAGTTTGCAATTACAGCAAATTTCTGAGACTTTTTTTTGTTTTAACTGACACAAAATGATAACTAGTTATTAAAGTTGGACTAATTAGACAGGTATGTTGAAGTAACGTCAGACATATCACAGCCACCTAGATTTTATCAAATAATAAAGATCTACTCAGATCAAATCATGTAAATGAAAATATCTAGGAAAATCTTTGTTTGAGGGGTATACAACCTTAATAGTATTTTGAAGAGACATGAATTCTCCATTGAATATCGGAATAATATACTGGGTGTTCCATTTAAAATAAAAGAGTAACATGCTTTTAAATGTGACCAATATTCAATATTAATTTTGTCTCACCCTGTATAACTTTTTGGATCAAGTTTTAATTTGATTTAAAGTACTATAGTTAATTTAACTACATATTAGGCTATACCGGGTAAATTCTAATTTAGGTAGCTTTTATTGTAATTTAAAAATTGTTCTTTAAGTCTAGAAAATATTAAATATGTCAAAAACCTTCCATTTTAGTCATATATTGCTCTTATAAAACTCACCTTTATTTTTCGCCCAGAATCCGAAAATCAATTAATATATAGGGCGTTCCATTACAAAAAAACACAACTTTGATATGTAACTTTTTTTGGGGACACCCTGTAGAACTCTCTATATTTTTAAAATGTGCTCTGAATTAACCTACATATGCTCACAAAATTTTATTTCAATACAAACTGTCGTTCTCCTTGGAGCCTCTGCGGCGTACGAGAGGCGCCACCCTGTATATGTTACGGTTAAAGTTCGATGTTCGGTTAATGTTTGGGTTTGGTGTTGTTTTTGGTTGTTTTGTTTTGTGTTATTCTCGAGATTAACCGGGTAATAGGGAGTTATTGAACATGATGGTTTAAGGTCATACCTTATTAAGGGAAGGCCTTATTTTAGTAAGGAATGTCTTATTTTCTGTGTCAAATATATGAGTTATTGGAGGGCAACTTTACTTCTGACGCGTTAAATTGGCAAATGACAATATTGAATATTGACAAAAAAAATATTGAAAAATGACGATATTGTACAAAAAGCTGTTTTTGGCGAAGACAAGTTTGTTTTATTCGGTGATCAAGGATATAGCCTACTGGAGTTATTAATTACTCCATTTCCAGAAGCACCCGACAACATACCTGCCCAGCAGTTACAATTTAACCAATCAATGAAGGTCTTAAGAATAGCTGTTGAATGGGGATTTTCTAAAATAATTACGCAATTTGCATTTGTTGATATTAAAAAGAATCAGAAGCTTCTATTGCAGGATGTAGAGATGTTATATAAAGTGGCTGTTTTATTAACAAATGTTCATACATGCCTTTATGGTGATCAGGTGGCAGATTATTTCAATGTTGCTCCCATAAATTTAGAGCAATATTTTGGCATGTAAACATCTACAATTAGCTCTAATGATAAGTTTTTCAATAAAAAAGGATCATTAGATATAGTTTTTTATTTCATGTTTAACGCCCTAAAGTTAGTTATGGTTAAAAATGTTAAAAATAAGGGAAATAAAGTTTCCTTAACGGGTTACGGTAACCAGACGTAAATAAGGGAAGGCAGTATTTTATTAAGGTTCCCTTATTAAAAATATCCTTTTGCGCATGCGTACCTGTCATAATAAGGCAAACCTTAATAAGGCAAAATGCTTAAGCGACGTTCAATAAGTCCCTAATGTCGATATTAACCGAATATCGGACATTAACCGTAACATATATATTATTTAAGGATTCAGCATTCTGATAAACTGTTTTGAAATACAGGGTGGTCCGAACTGTATTCTGGAAACTTCGGCAGCATATTCTGTAGATAAAATAAGTAAAAAAGTTCATATAAATGTATGACCTTAAATGGTTAGTTTCTGAGATACAGGGTGTAGAAGTTTCATTTTCATTTTGATTTTTTTTCAAATAATTCCTGAAGTATATTATTATTACTTCTTGGATGAAAATTGGCGTCTGGGAGTTTTTTGACATGAGAAATTTGATTTTGATGTCAATATGACTCATACATGTAGAGGGCGCCACCTACATATTTTTAACTGGTTCATGAAAGATTTCAAGTTTCGATTTTCTGAATACCTCTTTGAAAGAAATCAAATTTTTTATTTATTAACTTTTTCCACTTTTCTCACCTGGTACGGTTAGAAGACGTTAATGTAAGAAGTTGAAATGCAATTTGACCCCGTCTCTAGGTTATGTTGTAGTTTAAAAAAAATCCGAAAATAAAAAAATCCGTTTTTATTTGTTTTTCTTATCCAGTATCTACTTTTTTAACACACTGTGTATACTACAAAAATAACTAATCAATTTGCATCGATCGACGCCCAAACCCTTCAACTAAGAAACCATTTATGCACCGTCGGATAGACGACTGATGGCGCCCTCCCACAGCCTATTTTTCGTTTCTTAAGGTGCGTTCACACCGGTACAACCGCTCCGCGCTGCGCAAATCATTTTTTTAACATATACTTTTGTGCGCGCTAAAAAAATACACTTCAAAAGTACATAATAAAAAAATGTATTGCGCGGCGCAGCCGGTGTGAACGCACCTTTAGATTTCCATTAGGACTCGTAGAAAACGATTTGAAGTTGAAATTTTGCCAATATCAAAAATGCACATACATATTTCGGAAACGGTAAGTAGCTAAACGACCCGTAAAGCCTCTACGGATAGAGCTAGTGGAGCTCTACAATCGCCCCATTGAAACTACGTTTCAAAAATTTCCAAAAAATTTCTTGCCCAAAATCGAGATTTTTTCACATAAAGATTTTTGGTCGTGGATCGATGCAGATCGATTAGTTAAATTATTAGTATCCACAGTTCGTCAAAAAAGTACATACAGGGTGAGAAAAAAATACAAACTGATTCTTTACAACATAACATAAACAAACAAACAAAATAACATAACCTAAAAAGGGGATCAAATTGCATTCAGGTGAGAAATTATTATTTATATTAAATCATACCAGGTCAGAAAAATGGAAAAAGTTAATAAATTAAAAAAAAAGATTTTTTTCAAAGAAGTATACCCAGAAAATCGATAATCGAAATCTTTCAAATCAGAAACTGTGCTATCTCAGAAACTGTGAATTTTCGAAACACAGCCTAAATGGGGCAAATATAGAGCTCTACTAGCTCTATCCTCTATCCGAGGTTGTTTAGCTA